CAATGTACACGCGCTGTCCAAAAAAGGCTTTGCAACAATGAAAAAATACGTCGCGTGGATGTGTTTTCTGGTCGAAGGACCAAAAACACCTTATTTCACGCTGCTTATGCTGGTCCATTTCATGGCCCCGCGCGTGGTCCGCACGAGGATGGGCAAGACTCCATAACAAACGCAGAGCACACTGCCAGCGATCGTGGCAAATGTTGCTGCAGCTTTGCCTTGGGACGAATCCCAACAAACAACATCCCCCAACTCACGCTTGCGTAAGCCAATGATGATTTATGATGATTTGCTTCCGTGTTGAAAAGAATTTTGATCTGATAGTTGGATGAAGTGGTTGATGATGCTGAAGGTGAATGATTCTAACAAATGATGGTGAAGATGAATGAAAATGTTAACTCCGTAGGTATGCCAGACATTAAGAATGGCATACACATAAAACATCGGCGAGATCAGGTGCGTATGAATTGGGGTAAGGGTCCTGCCCAGCTACATCAGACCAGAGGAATGATGTACGTAGCATGAACTGAGATAAAGTGAATGATATGGCGGCTCCGCTAGCTACCCTGCAGGGTCCAGGCGCACCATCTGCACCTTGTAGGAGGTACGTTTCACGGAGCAGGCGAAGGGGGTCTTCGTTGGCCAGGACCCCTGCCCCACCCCTGCTGAGCCCCTGCTTCATGCTGAAAGGAAAGAGGGAGTGACCCCCAGCTTGCATGCCCGAGCAAGGTTCACACATCCCACTAGCACAGATGCAGCTCATGGCAGTTCACAAGTATACGCTTGCATGTAACAAAAACAAACTGAAGATATTCACAGTGCTATGGCCAGAGATGAGAATCTCCAAGTGCACGGGCTTGCACGTCATAAAAACACCACAACGTAATCGCCCACATTGTCAAGAATGTTAATGCTTGACTTAAAGTCTTAGGGAGGGGGTTACATTAGGACCCCAAGTGTTGCTACCGAAAGCCAGTGCCACTTGCTACTACACCTGGCCTCATGTCCGACCAACTCATTAAAGTGAGAATCGATGTCTTGCTCCTCGACAGCTGTGATTGATTGGATGCAAGTCTCTTGCCTTTTCCTGCTCGATGCTCGAAGTACGCAAACGCAGTCCTTGAGGAAGGGTGTCGCCTGTCGGTCCCTGCTGGGCCGTCTCTTCCCCGAAGTCGGAACGGCCTACAACTGCTCAGGCGCCTGGATCATTTATCCACTTTTGATTTCATTATGCTTGCACTGTGTGCCTCGACCTCAGCAGCAGGAAAGATTCGAACTGTCTTCCCGGGATTCACGAATGCCTCCTTTCAGCACGCAAGAGATGAGATGTATAGCCAGGTGCCACAGCCCACCACACGGAGCCTCTATCATGTCAGAACTCACATGAGGCGTTGGTATCCTCGCATCATGTAGAGTTCCGCACTGCCACTGCCTGGATACTCTACGACTCTGCCCTTACGCTGTCCGGTCTCGGCTTGCACGGAGAGGGGCTGCGAAGCCTTCAGATTCGAATTCCTGACGATACAGACTTCCATTCACAGCAATTCTCAGAGCATGCGAAGTACCTCTTTAAAAGATCAAACTTGCAGCAGCCATCTCCATGCATGCACAAATCCTGCAGCGCAAGTCCTCGATGGCGGTCACTATCGGTGCAAGCAGCACGTGTCTATCCTGCAACAGGCGCCGAACGAACTTGCAGCTTGAAGGCGAGGGAAAGCTAACTGCAGTTGTTGTCATGTTCAGCCGGCGCGATTCAGAGTTGTAGCATGGACAATGCGGACAATGATCTCGTCTAACAAAGTAGCGTGCCAGCATGTGCCAGCTACATTAATCAAACACGTGCCGCGCATCCTGGGCTTAGCTGACAAGACCCCTGAAGCAGGAGCAGGCTACCTCCAGGAAGTTGCTTGCTTCTGCAGCAAAAGGCGTCGCTATACGGTCACGTACTGACCTTGTGGCGACCTGGCATCTTTACCATCTGTGAGGTGTACACTACCCTTCGTCTGCGCATGTCCGTGCAGCTTTCAAGATCTGGATGCACCTTACAATAGAATCTTACCCCAAACAGGCCAAGTCCACCGAGCCTGCAGTCAAAGCTCTGGCCTCAGAAATCTGGGACTAAGGGCCTCATGTCATAGAACTTTATAGCGTGTACTGAAGTAATTTTAATGGAGCCTTGCACTGCACAGGCACATGGTCACGCAGACGCCCACATGGGATCGTATGGTCTAGTATGTCTAGTTTGGGCACCTCCTCGCTGACTGCGCCATTGAAGGAGACAGTTCGCGCATCGTTAGACGCAAGTTGCTCCTGGAGGTGAGGGCAGATGCAGAATGATGCAGCATTTCATCAGTACACTTCCAACAAAAACCTTGGCTGCAAAAACAGCAGGGTTTTCGATCGGATCTGTCCAGCCATTGACAGCTGGACCCAACAGTAAGCAAGCGTTCAAGTAGACGGCGAACGAGTGAAAACTCTTTTCTGTTGCCTTCAGTGCATGCACTGGGTGATTCTGAACAGCGTTGCTATCTCTTATGGCTGGGCAAGACATTTGCGATTTGCAACCTGGCCATTCCGTAGCATGAAATAAGTCGTCTTGCAGCGAGTGACACATTTAAACAACTCTGTAAGCACTGCAAGGACCAATACGGATCCATTCTGGCCTTTACAGAACCGACGATGAGAAATGAGGATTGGCCTCCTGATTTTTCAAGAGCACAGGCTAACCATCATGTGTCAGGTCTTGTTGACTCTCAAATGTACCTGCTTCTTCAGACTCAACTTCGAAACCCCAAAGCAACTTGACTTCGTTTGCATTCCTTCACATGGAAAGGAGTTGCTGAAACGGCTCCAGATTAAATTGAACTTCCTCATCCGTGATAATCCTTGACCAGCGATGGGCCCTGTAGTTTCTGCAGCCGGAAAGGGTGCGGAAATGTAACAGCATGGCAGCTGAAATGTAACGCGGCTACAATAAGTTGGTCTCCTGCAAGAATGGGGTAGCCTGCCGATCCCTGACCGACCGTCTCTTTCCAGATACGTGCGTCGCCTGGCATTCAACTGCTCAGAATGACTGCCACGCAGCGCTAGCCACTTGATCCCTAGAATCCCTTGAATAGTCAGCAGCAGATCTCTGGTGTGCGAGCCACGCGGGCCTCTACTTCGGCAGCAGGGAAGATTCGTACAGTTTTCGCAAAGTTTGCAAAGGTCTCCTGAACGACCCACCCGCAAACAGCGAAGGGCAGACATGCTGAAATTGAGGCCGGTTTTGGAGCTACAGGGTCCTGAACAAACCTGCTGCGTCCCTGGGCCACTCAAGCAGGGTCAGCTGACAGGAGAGTGGAAGAAGTCTACGCCTAGACCTAGCATGTGTCCTCGATCATTTGAGGGCTGACATGGGGCGTTGGCATCCTCGACAGTGAAGCTGTAATGATGGCAAGAGGAATTAAGCTTGTACCCGGGTACAAGTGAAAGAGTGCTGGTCTTGCCTGTCTCGGCTTGGTCGGAGCTGAGCTCCAGCCGTCGCCTCGAACTCCTGCTAAGGCGCCGTGCTGCCCCAGCTCATCAACAACTCAAGCAACTTGCGCAACTCTGGTTGATGCAAAGAGTTCTGGTCTATCACTATTGATATTATGAGCTTTGTGTAAAACAGAATGCTTCATATTTGGGGTGAACAGCTATCAACTTCCGGCAGGGCGGGCGTTCCTCGACGTCTGATGCAGGTGCAAGCCGTACTCGATGATCCTGCGCACAACTTGACAGGTCGCAGGCTGCGTGAGTCAAATTATCAACCTAAATCAACCTGCTGACCTTGGAAGAGTCAAAATCCATTGAAGCAAAGGGAGTTGCAATGCGGTCACGAACTGATCTCCAGCCAGCCTGAGACTGCCATTTGTCATCGTAACTGGCAAGACGAAGAGAGCACTAGCCGCTAAGGTTCAGACCGCAGGTTTGGCTTGCAATCCATTGGAAGAATCCTGGCAAGCTGCATGCTTGACTAAAGAGTAGCACAGCGTGGCAGAACATACGACAAAGCTGGTTGAAGTTGCAGGGGCTTCGGGTTGCTGTCTGCCGCGGGAATTGTATAGATTTGGGCAGGGCAGCTTGGAATCTTGCTGCGCTCACCGGCCCCCTGGAAACCGTCATCAGTCATGGCTAGTTATTAATTCCATTTGACTTGCCTCAATTACCTGGCACCTGCTCTAGCGCCAGCTGCTGAGATCCAAGCTCATCTTAGAGGAACACACCACACACGTTGCGACGTACTCACTGGTGAGCTAGATGCCAAGCTCGCTTCAAGTGCAACCGCCCAAGTTGAAGGCATAGCGGCAAGAAATCTTAAACACCCCTCGAAAAGGAGTCAAGCTTCTTCTTGGGAAGGCACACAGTGGACAGGCTATAGCCAAGCTTGCCGAGCACATGAGATCACAATAGATCATACAAGCAATAATCGCCATTTCTGCTAGACAGCTAGTCACGTTTCAGAACGTGCATCCGCTTTTCTAGACTAAGCTGCGCTAACCTCTTTGCGATTGATGACTTCCTGGGCATACCCTGTGCATCGGTCAAGGCCTCAAGATACATGGCAAGAATGGCCTTTGGAATGAAGGATTCAAGAACGGAACGCCCAAGAATCCGCACACGATCTCTGTTCATCAGGCAATCGATATCAAGCGTATGAGAAGCAATGAGACTGGATTCTGAAAAACATTACCAACTGGCACGGTTTTCAGTTCAACCTCTGCACAGCATTGCACGCAGCAAGGCAAAGGAGGGGCATTAGGCTGCAGTGATGATTGCAACATGAAGTGTATGTCAAAATCTCAGTTGGAGTGTCGGGGCGCTCCAAACAATCTTAGCGTTTAGACACAAGAAACTAACTACAGCGCCTGAAGATCTGTAGACAGCAGCCGGGTTGTCTAGAACAGATGCAGCTGAGGGATTAGTGCAAATGAGTTTGTGGTCTGCTGTACCCTTCTGAGCTCTTTCAAGTTGCAAACCTTGGCGCTGATCATGTCGTTGAACTTCACCGTGCGGTCAGCTTCAGGCATCTCCAGTTCCTCCCAGGAACAGATGGGACCTCACTCACATAGCTTGACCCACGTATGCACGCTTGCAACTGCTGGTGTTCCCGCGATATTCTAGGGTGAATGCTGCGCAAGTTAGACGTTCCCGTACCCACCACAGCAAGTCGGGGGCAAGACTTATCATACTTCTCATGCGGCAAAAAAATAGCAGGATTTGAACATGCCTCCTTGAAAAAGGGGGTCGCTTGACGTTCTCGGCTTGACCTTCTCTGCCCAGCGATGGCAATAGCCTGGGACTAACAGTTCTTCATTTATAGATTGCGTCTCTTTCTGATGGTGCCTGCCTGCGTCTCGGCGGCGGGGAAAATCCGAACAGACTTTCCGGAATTGTTGAAGGCCTCCTCTCGCTGCTCGCTGCGGCAAATGAGTGACACATACTGACACCACCTAACGCCTCAGAGCCTCTATCGCTCAGCCCGTCCTCTACCATCTCGGCGCTCACATGCGGCGTGGGGATCCTGCAGCAGATTCTTGCTTTCGTGTTGTCAATTCAGGTGCATCGCTTCTTTTTTCTCGCTATGACTTCGTGGCAGTTCACACCAAAGCAATGACCAGCGTGCAGACATAGCTTAGTCTAAAGATGTCTAAAGCCAGCAATTCATTTTGGATGGTCATCCTGTCTCTGATCGGGCGCAAGGGCTCTTGAAGGCCTTGTCTCACACATTCCTGACGAGAGCCAGAAACACGAAGCACACCGACATCTCTAGAAAGCGGAGGCCTGAGGAACACCAGCGCCGTCCTCAGCTACAGCAGTTGAAAGCAAATCATCGAGGCACCACAGGAAGCTGGACCAACCTTGACTTACGGTGCCTTTTTTCACACTAAGCCTATCCAACAAGGCCTCCATGCCGACTATGTCATTGAACTGGACTGTCCGGGGATCTTCAGGCCAGTCCTCTGGCTCAGTCGGAACAGGTCTGCAGCGGCAGAAACTTCGAAATGGAGTACAGGTAGTGACGCTACCTTAGCAAGTTGCCATTGTCCTGTTGCTAGCAAACTAGCTGAAACGCACTTGGGGAACCATTGAAGGCAAACACCTCCTGCTTTGCTGAACACACAGGGCAAACAGAGCTTTCCAAAAGTCATGACAGGGGTTGCCAAAGCTCCTGTCTATCTGGCAAAGGTGAATGAAAAGCAGCGGCCAGATTTGGTACTACGGCTGCGAGTTCTGGCTAAGGATAACGATGTAATCACTGACATGCGGCATTTGACTCCTTGACGAAGGGAGTTGCCTGTCTGTCTCGGCTGGAACGGCCCGCTCCAGATGCCGAGATCGCCTTGCGCGCAACATTCAAATGGACCACCTTGGAAGCATGCTCAATATGTTCCAAGGAGTCCCAATCTTGAGCCTCAATCTCGGCAGCCGGAAGTAGTCGAACAGTCCTTTTGTTTGAGGTCTCCTTGAACGTGCAGCTGGTGCGTTGAGGCGCGCGCTGAGGCAGAGCCTAGGCTGTCAGACGGTCAGACGTCCTGTCCTCGTTGGAGCTGACATGGGGGGTGGGCATCCTGCTAGCGCAAGCATGCACAAACTGGAAGACGCAAGCCTTGCCAAGAACACTACAGAAACAAGGGGGTCTGTTGCGACGCAGTTTTTACATGGTTGGAGTCGTTGCTGCTGCTGGCACACGTACAGCAATTGTGCAAACACGCATCGATGAGGCAGCGTTGTGCTTTCAATCAAACGTCAGCCAGCTGTTCAGCGGCACGACAAATAAAAGGGGAGGTTAGCCATTGATGCCCGCATGAACGCAGAAACGGTTTTAAGGGGGGGCGGGGGGGGGAGGCGTCACCTTATAGGAAGCCAAAGAATCAGTTATAAAACGGGTGGGGGGGTGGATACCATCGGCAAAGAAAATCAATAGGGAGAGGGGGTGACGTCGGATAAGAAAACAAGGTCAAGCCGAGAACCCGAAAACCAAGCGGGAGACAAAACAACCTGGTGAAGCAGTAATGGCAAACAGGTACAGGTGCTCGTCCAATCCCAGTGTGTTGCCACTTTTCTTTGGCTCACACCGAGATTGACAGCGCGGCGAGATTGACAGCTGCTTTGCATTCGCCGGGACAAATGCCCTGTCTATGAGTCTCCTTTATTAGGTCAGGGTGCTGCACCCGCCCAGCCGATATCGCGCATCTTGTCCATCAGCCCCCGCTCACGAACCCACCCTGCGCAGCACACCCACGCCGCGTGTGCGTCCCGCCCTCCAGCCCTCGCTCACTGTCCACCACCACCCACCGCCCCGCAGGCCGATACAGCTCCCCCATGCAGACGATATCACACTCCCCGCCTGGTCCACACCATATCGCGCACCCCCCGTTTGTTTACCAGCTACCGCTTACCCCCACCCAGACAATGTCGCGTACCAGACAATATACCCGCAGAGGCGATATCGCGCCCTGCTCAGCCCCGCGCGCAGACTCACCGCCCAGACCATATCGTGCATCCACCTTTTGTCCACCAAACCCACGCAGCCGATATCGCGCAACCTCCCCCTGGTCCATCAGCCCCTTACTTACAGTAGGGCCCTTCATCCCCGCGCACCGCGCAGACGATATCGCACACTCCGCTTTGCGCAGCACATATTATCGCGCAAACCCCTCCCCTTGTCCCCCCCTGTCCACCAGTCCACCCTCACCCCCCCGCACAGATGCCCCCTACGTCCCCTTGCACAAAGAATACCCGCAGAGGCGATAGCGCGCACACCCGTTGTCTACGAGTCCCAGCTCTGCCCCACGCGCAGACGCGCAGACGATATCTCGCACCTCCCCTTTGTCCACCAACCCCAGCGCAGCTGATATCGTGTTTTGCCCCAGAGGACACCCCGGAGGAGCGGCTGCAGAAGGCCCCTTGACGCGAAGTAGGGGCGCGGCGTGCCTTCTCTCAAGTAGGCCTCGCCTTCCATGAAGTAGAGGGCGCTCTCCGTGACGTAAAGTGTAGAACCTCTCCGTCAAGTAGGCCGCGTTTTCCGCTCTCCATCACCTTTGTCCGCTAGTCCCCTCGCACCCCCCCCGCACGGCAGAAACAATATCGCAGCCGCTATGACACGCCCTTCTTGTCCACCAGCAGCCCGGCTCGCCATGCCACCGGTGTTCATGATATCGACCTTAGCCCCACGCAACGCCACCTCACCTGCTTTCACAATGTCCAGCGTCCGTGCGCACCCCCGCAGCGTTTAGTCCTTATTTGTGCTCTGCCGGAAACGCCGCACCGATATCGCGCACCTCGCGCTTGTGTATGAAACGAGAACCCAACCCCGAGGGGTTTTCGGGAAAGATAGACTAATAGAAAATAGAACCCTAAATAAGATAACAGTCAGGATTTTGTCTAGCGTGGTTTTAGAGGTGATTACAGTGGTCCAGCCCCCCCCCCCCGCGTAAACAATATCGCGCACGCCCCCTGCAACGGTCCAGCATTTGTGCAGACGATATCGCACACGCCCCCTTTGATGGCAGTGGTCCAGCACCTCCCCGTGCAAGATCTCCCCCCAGACGACAGCGCGCACTCCCCTTTGATTGCAGTGGTCCAGCACCCACGCGCAGACGATATCGCGCACGCCCCCTTTGATCCCCGCGCAGACAATGTCGCGCACGCCCCCTTTGATTGCAGCGGTCCAGCAGCCCCCGGCGCAGACGATATCGCGCACGCACACTTAGACTTTGATTCCAGGGGTCCAGCACCCGCACACTTTGATTCCAGGGGTCCAGCACTCCCCCGCAAGACGAAATCGTGCACCCACCCTTTGACAGCAATGGGCAATGGATATCGCACATGCACCCTTTGATTCCAGGGGTCCATCACCCCCCTGCGCAGACGACATCGCGCACACCTCCTTTGTTTTCAATGGTGCGGAACCCCCTTGCGCAGACGATATCGCGCACTGCCCCTTTTGATTGCAGTGGTCCAACACCCCCCCTCGCAGACGATATCGAGCTCGCCCCCTTTGATTCCAGCGGTCCAGCACCCGCCCACGCAAACGATATCGCATACGCGCCCTTTGATTGCAGGGGTCGAGCATCCCCCACGCAGACGATATCGCGCAATTCGCGCAGGCCCCTGCCAACTTTGATTGTAGTGTTCCAGCACCCCTCCATGCAGACGATATCGCGCATGCCTCCTTTGATTGCAGTGGTCCAGCACCCCCCGCGCGCACACGATATCACACATGCACCCTTTGATTGCAGTGGTCCAGAACCCGCCGCGCGCGGTCGATATCGCGCACGCCCCCTTTGATTGCAGTCGTCCAGCACCGCCCCGCGCAGACGATATCGCGCATGCCCCCTTTGATTGCAGCGGTCCAGCACCCCCCAGTGCAGACGATATGGCGCACGCCCCCCACGATCGCAGTGGTCCAGCACCCTCCTGCGCAGACGATATCGCGCACGCCCCCTTTGATTGCAGCGGTCCAGCACCCCCCAGTGCAGACGACATCGCGCAAGCCGCCCTTGATCGCAGTGGTCCAACCCTCCTGTGCAGACGATATCGCGCACACCCGCTTTGATTGCAGTGGTCCATACCCCGAAGCACAGATGATTTCGCGCACGCTCCTTTGATTGCAGCGCGCAGACGATGTCGCGCACGCCCCCTTTGATCCCAGGGGTCCAGCACCCCCCCCTCGCAGACGACATCGCGCACCCAGCCTTCCATTGCAAGGGTCCAGCACCCCCCCGCGCAGACGATATCGTGCAACCACCCTTTCTTTGCAAGGGTCCAGCACCCCCCCTCCCCGCACAGACCATATGGCTCACGCCCCCTTTGATTTAGGGTTTAGGGTTTAGGGCGCAGACGATATAGCGCATCCCCCCTGAATTGCGGTGGTCCAGCACCGCCCCCCCGCGCAGACGATATCGTGCACACCCGCTTTGTTTGCCATGGTGTGGAAGGAACCCCCTTTGCATAGACGATATCGCGCATCCCCTTTTGATTGCAGTGATCCAACACCCCTCGCGCAGCAGACGATATCGCGCACACCCCCTTTGATTGTAACGGTCCAGCACCCCCCGCGCGCAAACGATATCGCGCAGGCCCCCTTTGATTGCAGCATATTGCAGCGGTCAAGCACCCCCCCCCGCAGAGACGATATCGTGCACGCGCCCCTTGATCGCAGTGGTCCTGCACACCCCCCGGCAGACGATATTGCGCACCCCCCCTTTGATTCCAGCCGTCCAGCACTCCCCGCGCAGATGATATCACGCACGCCCTTTTTGATTGCAAGGGTTCAGCAGACCCCGCACAGACGATGTCGCGCACCCTCGCTTTGATTGCAGCGGTTCGGACCCCCCTGCGCAAACGATATCGCGCCCCCACCCTTTGATTGCAGGAGTCCAGCACCCTCCGCGCGCAGACGATCCCGTGCGAGCCCCCATAGATTTCCGGGGGTCCAGTGCCCCCCCGCGCAGACGATATTGCACACCTTTGATTGCAGTGGTCCAGCA